GTGTGTGTGTGTGTGTGGTGGCTAGTTATTCTCAAATTGGCCCGCCAGGGTGCCGCATACCAACTGGAATGGTTGGAATTCCTGTGACACAAAAACAGAGAGAAAGTATCTTTGTGTGTCTGTGGGTGTGTGTGTTTGTCTTGCCCTGTCTGTCACCCTTTTGCATATGCAGCATAATGTATTTCTAATCATAAAACCACACTGGGAACACAAATAAACAATGGATGTACTGCATGGGATTAATGTTTCATATTTGATACTGAAGGATGCGAGGCGAGGAAGAAGGATACAGAAAGGAAAGAATGATACAGGATAAGAAATATGGAGACAATGCAGTAAAGGGGAGAGGGACACAGGGGAATACAGCAGGGGACGCTGGGTGAAGCAGAAAAGGTAAATAATGCTCTGAGAGAATAAGCATGCAGGGATAAAACAGAAGGGGGAAAAAAGACCTATAGGGGGAAATTATGTTACAGTAGAAGGGCAACAAAACAAGAAAGGAAAGAATCAAGGACAGGAAATGGAAATGAGGATAAAGAAACATAAGAGAACATGATGATGATGAAAATAAGAGAAAAGGAAAGCTAAAAACAACACAAGGGAACATGGATGCTTGTGAGGGAACAAGTGTAAAAGAGGCAAGGGGGCAAGCATATAGAAGACAGAACAGTGATTCAGGAAAGGGACAGAGAAGAGGGAACAAAGAGGGAACAATAAAAAGAAAAAATGAAGGAAAATGGGCATATGGGAGAGGCAACAGCACCACTGCAAAGGATAACAGGACAGAACAGACACAAACTACAAGAGAAGAACAAGAAGAGGTCAAGTAAAAGGGAACACAGACCCAAGAAAGGGTATAGATGAGGGAATAAGGGTACAGTATAAAAAAGAAGAAAGCAGGAGAGAGAACAAAGAGGCTAAAAGCAGACCAAGGAGAGGAAAAAAAAAAGACCAAAGGAACAGGGGGAGGGTATAAATGAGGGAACAAGTGCGCAACAACAGGACCTGAACCATCCAGAGATGAGTAAAACAAATAACACAGGACACAACAGAGTAAGGATAAAGCAGAGGGAATAAGGACTCAGATAAGGGAATATGGATGCAAAAGAGTAAACTAGGAGACTAAGGCAGGAAAGACATGATGAAACAAAAACCAAAGAAAAGGTACAAATGAGGGAACAAGGACACAACAGACTAAACCAGGGAGAAGATTAGGAAACTAAAACCAAATAATGCGGAAAAGGGTACACATGAGGGAACAAGGACACAGAGTTAATGACGTGTTTTGAAATGGGGCATAGCCGGTAAGTATGAAAGTCATGCCAGCTGATATCATGTTACTGTACCACCACTCTCCTCACACACACACACACATACCAAATACATGTATGCATGGATTAGACACTCTCTCTCACACACACACAAAGGCCGGGTTCGTATTTCTGAGTGGTAGGCGAAGTGTTCTGGTTTGGGTGGTCAGACGTTGTGTAAATTATTTAAACATGTTACTAATGGTTTCCATTCAGTGATTAACCACTTTGTACAGCCAGAGAGCAGGAGCGGGGGCGATGGAGGGCAGCTGGCACTGTGTTTGTTTTTTGGCTCTGCTCTGTTTGGCCCCAACTGGACCAAAACCACACACACCTCCATTAAAACACTACCTTTGTTTTACCTGGAGGGAGACAGAAGTTACTGGAACAATAAATTGGACTGAACAGGGTGTGTGCATATATATGGGAATTGGTCCATCTACTGGCATAATAACATATATATTATTCAATTGTCATTCTATCTATCTCTAGATGTAAGTTAATGGTAATTTATTACAGCCCAGTAGTTAGCCCATAGTTGCCATGTGCAAATACAGAAGAAAGCGACAATTTTGCTGCCAGTGGATGAAAGAAAAAAGAGATTGACCGTAATGTAGGTTTTTCAGAATCGTCCACTATTGAGGTTTTTGTCTGGAAATGGGGTTGTCCCATCCACACTTTTTTGGATGCTTTGCTGCAATTTTTCCGTCACTATTTTTCTCGCTCTGGCCCTACAAAGCTCTGAAATAAGAATAATAGAAATATGGATATGGGCAGCCATACAGAGGTGTGGAAGCAGGCTAGTCCAGGTTTGCAGACCTGATCACATTTCATACGTCTGTACACCTCATCTCTAATTTATGTATACATTCAATGAGTTTTATATACCTTTTAACAACCAAAATAAAATACATGATATTGACAATATTACAAATAAAGTATGTAGATTATATAAGAAATAAAAAAACACTCAAAAACAATAACAACAAATCAAACTAAATTAGAAAACACCAGTCAAACACTTTTGACCTCTGATTGAAAAAGTCACAATGAACTCTATAGTGTAAAAACAGCATTGTGGTTTGGATTATTATAATCTAAATGAAATGTGAAGAAAGGCAGTTATGTCTGAGAGAAAACATCCCCTTTTAGTTTCTGGGTGAAAACAAAACAGTATGTGTGTTAACCGCAAGCAGGCCGAATGCAGGTCGCTGCAAAGTTAAATTTAAAACACTTTAAGACTTTCTCGGTGCCAGTCCAAATAAAATTTAGGGCCAACTTGACCCCCCGCCAGTAGTTTTATAAATAAAAATACACTTGCTCAGCAGTTATATTACAATACCTGCTTTCTTACATCAGGACGAGTAAAAGTTTTATGCAACTTTGTGTTGATAATTAAAAAGTCATGTGAAATATGTTGTTTTCTCAAAAGGCTTACATCTGAGTGGAAATTAGAAACATCACCTTCTTTTTTCAGTACCTACACCTACTGTCCCCTTGAGCAAGGCAGGTGAGGGCCAAGAGCAGGAGGTTGTGGTTTCACCAGTAAGCTCCCAGCGTTACATGTGTGTAACTTTACAAGTGTAAAGAAGATGTTTGCAGCAGGAGAACACGTGGATTTACCTATACTGACACACCTTCTCAATGGAATCTCACTATTTTTATGTCAGGAATGACTCAATGATCGTCAGTGTTCGGGAGGAATTCGATGTGCGTCAAACCAAATGAGTCAAAGTCTTTGTTTATATTTTAATCTAGAGCCATTTATAGGAATATACACCTTCTCTATTCCCATTTTCCTTCAACTTGTCTCCTCTATTTCTATTTCTGTTGCTCACTTCCTACATTTCCCAGGGAGCTTTTTGACAACCTGCAAAGAAAGTGCCTGAGCTGGTTGCTGTCACCTCTGGGTTAGATGTGTAGGTGGACAGAGAGCTTTTTTCAGTTGAAATAGAGTGAGGCTTTCTCGTAACTCGTCCTGTCTTTTACTGGAGCTGCATTGAATTCTGGTCTATTTTCTGCTCTTGTGGGTGCAGAAATCAGCCTCTCTTCCTCTTTAACAATGGATTGTTACCTGTGAGAGTATTAAACTGAACTGGAAGAAGGCAGCTCCAGAAAGAAGCTCTCACCCTTTGAAGGAGCTATATTATACCTGAAAGAGCAATTGTTCTGTCAGCTGACAATTTAGTACCTCCACTTGTACCTCCATTTTTATGCTTCACTTCATCACTTACAATGCCTATGTTGTTGACAATTTTCTTTAAGTCCGAAGGCTCATAAAAACCTTAAATCTCAAAATCCAAACTACAGTTGTTAAAACATCTCTAATGTCTGTCTCCCAAGGACTTGCAGTGCTATTGAAAGCACCCTTCCTTCTTTTGATATCTCTGCATCAGATGAAGAACTGTTTCGGCTCAAAATTCTGCCCTTATACTAATAAAATAAAATGTTAAAAGAAACCATTCAACATTGTTGAGAGTCCATGGGTTATGTTTAATTTCCAAAAACTGACCAGATACTTTTTAGAGAAATTTAGAAACATACA